GTAGCGCGGGAAGCAGCGTTCGCCAATATTATTTAAAGGCCTCTAACGCTGCAGGAAAATTTTAGTAGAAGATTTAGAACTATGTATGTATTTAGTTTTAGCGTTTGTTCCCGCTTTGAGGGCGTGAAATGCCGTGTCAATGTCCCTAATAAGTCATTGTCCCGGCATTTCAATTGTCGCCCATAAGCATGAACCAGGCCACCAACTCACAAGCTTACATGCAACAACTAAACTAACACAAGGTCGTCCATATGGCACCTTTCCTTGGACAAGGCATCCTCCAATTGGCACGCGGTAAATTGACTTAGATTGTTTGCCCTGGCAAACTTATGTACTCCAAACTCATCCACTGGACGATGCTGGCTGTATTTCTTGCGTGGGCGATCATGTCGCCGACGGGCGATGTTGTCCAGGGCGTTCCGGTCAAACTCGTAGGCGCCGACCTCATTACCGTTGTCCATGGACATTGTGTTGGAAGGATACGTTAAGGTTCCGATAAAATGAAGAAATGAAGAAGCGCTCCTTCATAGTATGGAGATGGTAGAATCGTCAAGCAACTTTTGAACGACCAGGGAGAATTGCTGATAGGCGAATTTGTATGAAGCTATAGAATTCCTTTATTCTTTCAAGGTAAATGAATGCTTATGTATTCGTCCGTTAGTAGCGTGAAGCTTTGAACACTCTTTGTACGGCAGATTCGGCACAATGTTTTGCCTCATTGCGATGTTGCCTGAAAATTTTGAACAGAAGGGATCACTGCTCATGCTGGTGCAGCAAGACATGTAAGGAGATGGCCTGGTCACAATCCAGCAGTCATATATCGACAATCTCAAGCTATGACAACTCGTTACATGTGTCTGTAATAAAAAAGGGACTTTGCGATGGTGTGGGGAGCTCTTTGAGTGGTGGGACTGTGGAAATCCAGTTTGTTTCGCCCCGTAACAAGTCTGTTACGGGCGAAACAACGTCCCTCTGAAACGTTTGGATATGCCTATGCAACACATTTCCTCAATTTCATGAACTGCAAGTATTCTAATCCAACATCACCCCAATCTCAGTGTAAACTAGTCTCCAAATGTGCCTGCACAAGACTGTCACCCCTGTCACCCGGCATTCACATTGCCTTAACCTCCTAAGCTTGTCGGGGTGTGACACGTGGGCATGAACCTTGTGACAATGGGCATTGTCACAAAGAAACTGGTTGCAATCAGAAATGCATTTTTCCTCATGCCAGGTTACCGACATCGGTTACCGATTACTGGGGACGGTTAACGGATAACGGTTCGCTCGGTAATCCTACCGACCGGTTACCCATCTCGTTAACTGGACCCGTTAGGTCGGAACCGGGCCGGAACCGGCCTGGAGTATGCCATTGGGCTTAGTCTTAGGGTTGCCCCTAAGACGACGTAGATACCACCTCCTGACACCGCCGTACCGGAAAGCACTTTTCCGGTACGGGCAGAGCCAGCAGCATTCCAGGTTCAGAATTGAACCCAAAGGCAGAAATCACCATTCTGAGAGTTGAACGTCGCCATCCATGATTTAGACATACCATTCCATGGCCTGTGCATGCGCGTCCATGTCCTTCACTACGTTGCTGCTTGCGGCCAAGAAACAAGTGATGCAAAACGTTGCCTCTTGTCCATCCGTCCGGTCTACACACGTAAGAGCAATTTTCCATAACACGGATGTAAGCACCGTTCGGGATGTCCGTCGTGTTTGCCTCAGGAAGTCGTCCTCCCGGCGGCGGATCGGGCCCTAAGCACCGGCCGGTACCAGCTGGTACCAGCTCCTGGAGCCGCTTAATCGATGCTGATCGTGATGTGTAATTGGTCCAGCATAAAGCACATTCTTCATCATCCGGAAGGGATCCCTTAGCCGTAGTACATGTAAAGGATGCGCAGGACAAGCAGTGTAAGAGGTACTCGGAAAAAAACGCAAAAAAGACTGTTCCGTCCAAATAGCTAACAAGCTGTACCTTAGCGGAATGCAGGGCGCTTCTAACATACATGCCACCCTTTGGAAGTCATGTTGTAGGCTTGTCCTGTTTGGTTTATGTTGGCATTGCATTAAGAAGTTCAACGCGATACCTGCAGGTTAACTGTTTACTGATAATTAGTTATTCGGCGGCGTGCGCATATCATTCCCTTACTTCGCCGGCA